TTATCAGGCTGTGTGCTATTCTAGCTCATGCTGCTGTTAAAGGTGCTTATTGTCTGGAGGCAACACATGGTGACTTACCAAAAGTATGTGGAGTTTGAGAAGTAAAGACCCCAAAGATAATTGTTACTTAGATTGGACAAGTGAGTGTAGCAGTTACATCAATCTTATGGCTATATTGCTGTAGTTTCTATATTTTTTGTCTTCTTATTTTTTGATTCAAAATTCCTGAGGTTTGGTTGTTTTGGTTTGTTTTGTTTTTTTCTTTCTGTGCATGTAGTATGCTTATTTAGTATGGAATGCCAGCATTTACCGCTTTTGGAGGAAAAGTATATCTACATTACCTGTTCTTGGTGTTGTCAAAAAAAAAAAGTCATGTTAGAAGATGAGGTTTTTTCTTTCTTGGTGATCTCTCGCAGTGTACTTGGGGGGGCTGTAGGCAAGGGAATCATCATTCAACTGCTATGACTTGGATTGTGGCGTCCTCATTTCTGCTTTCTTGCTAATAACTACCTTGGTTTTGAAACTTTAAATTTCCATTGTTGCTAGCTATAGAAGAACTGAGAAATCAGACCTCCTAATTTTAAGCAGACACATGTCTACAGTCTTGTATTTTCGTAAGATTGTGGCTTGATCTCTTGTATGTTTTAGTAGGATTTTTCACAAATGCTGCAGAGAACATCAAGTCACTGTATCCTGATGTCTATTTCATCACCTCCTAGGGTGAGCCATATGCCTTAGAGGGAGGAATGCCTGCTACTCGTGTTATATAAAATAATAAATAATTTATAATGCTAACTGAAAATATCTGCCTTGGTGGACAAATGTCCCTAAAATTGTTTGAGAGGAACTAAATTGGCACATAATCAGAATAATTTCTTGAAGATGTGAGAAAATAGTTGGCTTTATTCGCTTCATTTTTTTATTTTTTATTTTGTGTGGGGGAGCTCTCCCATGAGTCTGTGCTGTACTCGAGAGTATTACTGACCCACTTTAGGAGATCCTTAACTGTTGGATCACTGTGAGCCGTGATGGAGGTCTGCAGTATGATTCTGTGAATACTTAGCTTTTTACTGAAAGCAGCTTTTCTGATGTACTGTCTTGCTGATACCAGCACCTGCTCCAGTAAAGAATCACATGAAGCTTTGGATCATGTGGCTTTTTCCTCTCGCCTGTCGTAACAAAAGGATTAGTGGATTTTTTGCACCACCTTAGAAAGCTGAAGGTGTTCCAATTTGCTAACAAATGCCAATTTTAGTGTATCCTTGAAGCTGTGGTGTATGCATGGAATTTCAAAGATCTGCATCTCTGTGCAGGTGTATGCATGGTAATTTAGCATTAGTGTTTGATGGTATGAATTGATACAACTTCTGCGAGTTATTTTGTTTTCAAGCAGAGACTGTTAACTTCTATCATGCGGACTCTACCTGCTTTTCCAATTTTTATCTTGGGAAATTAAAAATGATGTAAACAGAAGACACTTATGTCAGCGTTCCTCTTCTCAATGTAATTGAGTATTTCTGCGGTGAATAGTTAATGATGATCTGCTTTGCAAGACATAAATGCGGCAGTGACCTGCTCTCGTTTAGATGTTGCGGTAGTAGAATGGTGGGGCTTTGCATGATGCATGTGTTCATTGTTTGTGTTAAGCTGCTCCCGTGTGTCTGAAGTGAGCTGGATGGGTTGTCTCTGCACTAGTTATAAAGGAATACTTATTTTCTGTTTCTTCTGACACATAAGTATTCTTGATGTAATTTTCTCCCCCCGCCCCCCCCCGCTATTAAAACATTATTGTCTGAGGCAGTTTTGTCAATGTGATCTGTAAATGCATACACTTTGGATTCATGTTGTGTGCTGTTCAGTCTCCTGTCTACTGGATTTGCTTGTTAGTTGCAAAGAGTTAAAACTGCCTAAATGCTTTTTATGTAACATCTTTTTATAGGTGGAGTTTACCAGCTGGTAGCTATATACAGCTGATAAATGTATATGCTATTTTCTGTATAATTCTGAAGCATGGATACACTGTTAGTGGAATTTTTAATCACAAGTATAAATTACAATCAAATTAATGTACAACTGAAAAGATATATTTAAAAAATCAAGCTTCTTACATGTTGATATGGTTTTTTTCTTTCACTCTCAGCTTTTGTGAACTGAGCATTGTGGAAGAAAAGGATTTAATTCAAATACAGAGTGTAATCTACTTCTAAGATTATGTCTGTTGTAAGTTTTAGAGTAGTGCTATTAAGGTGTGACTTTGATTAGTACTTCAAATAGAGAAATTTCAGAATTTCACTTTCTAAGCTTAAATCCAGGTTTTGCATAGGTGTGTCTTTCTCACAGGAGAAAGCAAAGACATTTGTTATCTTTAGCTAAAATGCTCTGACCTCAATGCCGTGGATATTTTGGCTACATTTTTTAAATTGATCCATTCATTGTCTTATCCTGTTGAAAGAAGTTTTACATTTCTAGTATGTACAACTTACTGAAAAAATAGAATGAGTCCCTACTGTCAAATTGACTGTAGTAAAAGCACATTCAGAGTCGTCTTAATATTTGTAGCATATGATTAATAGACACTGAAGTTACCAGTAAAACAGTGAAATGTTTTAAAATTTGCATTTAGAGATCTAAAAATAAACATTTCATGCTTCTAAGTGTTGTGGGACTTGTATAAAATGCTCTTTTGAGATTTATGCTAATTAAACACTTCTTAAACAAAATCATTGTATGCCCAAAACTCTTTACTATTTCTTTTAAAAATCACTTTTTTCCTATGCGTACTTAATTTTTACTTGTCTAGCTTTTTGAGTCCGTAAAAAATGCCAAAAGCCCTTACTTGAGTATTTGGAAAAAAAAAAAAAACCACTCAGAGCTTCATTTTTTAATTCCTGTCATACTTAAAATTACAGCCCAGTGAAATAAGGTATAATCTTGGCACTGAATTGCATTGCAAATGCAGTAAAATATCCGAAATATATTACCAAAGCCAGGGATACTACTTAATGCTTGACCTGATAGTCTAAAAGAGCTCTGTGTATCCAATGTGAATGTTTTTAACAAAAACCTGTTCCAACAAATATTTTGAAGTCAGACTTTAAAACAAATAGCAAGACTAATTACTCAAGTTTGGTTCCTCCACTTACGCAGCTGTTTTTATGGGACTCTTACTGAGTGTAGAATAGCTTTAAATGCATGATTTATAGCAGAAATTACAATATGATGAAGATATTCTTATCATATGACTTAGTAAAGAAGCTATGTCTTGTGTTCTATGATTTTACTCTAAGTTTTCATTAAACATAGCCTTCTTTTTTTGCTATCTCAGATAAGATGCAGCATTTCTGATTTTTTGCTAAATGAGGCAATGGACCTAAGACATGCCTTATCAAATCTTTTTGAATTTAGGGTGCCCTTTTTTTTTTTGTTATTTTAAGTTGATGGTCACTTAGCTTTCTTCCACCAAGATTTTGGAGCACCTTTTTGTACCTATACTTATTTTTTGGAGTATACTTAAATTTCTTAGTTATATTCATTTTTCAATTCCACTTCTACTTTTGATACTCATACTGTTTCTCTTCTGTTTCCTCAGTGCTTTATTGTCTTCCACCTTATTCTTTAAATGGGCCAAGTAGAAGTTGACTCTTGAGTCCTTCTTGCTTGGTTTTGCTGGATAATCATATTCAGTTACCTTTGTTCAGAAATCACATTGACATCTGAGGACTCAGGTTTTTCTTCTCAGTCATACCTTCATTTCTCTAAAACTGTTTCTCTGGCACTGCTCCTTTTGTAACCTGTGCATACTTTGTCCTACACATGGCGGTATTTTCCAAATCCTCCTGTTTTAACCAACACTTGTAAGAACTTTTAATTCTCTTTCCTTGCTTTTAATACTCTTTAAGTTCATTTGCATCTTAATTAATCAGCTCACTCTTGCCTTCCCAAAGCCTACGCGGTTTCCAGTTTTTCCATAGAAAGTACAACAGCTAGAGTTTCAAGGTTACTTCTTGTTTATTCTATATAATTTGTTTTGTCTGCCTTTCTCCTTGCCCCATCTGTTGTGGTTTGTTTTTCTTTTTATCCTACTGCGGAGTTACTTGTTTCTGTCAAAAATTATTCACAATGTTGTAACTGTCTACTTGACCAAACTCATTTATTAACAATATTTCAAATAATTGCTATGAATCTTCTATTTATTTCTTGCATTCTCTTTTATTATTTTTCTTCTCCTTTGCCATGCACAGGCCATTAACATTTAGGGAAATGTTTTTCTTCCGCTTCCTCTCTGTCTGCTTCTGTTTGATTTGTGAGGAAATCTGTCAGGTTTGATAGTTTTAAATCTTTCAATGTTATTTTAATACATTTTTTTCATTATTTCATTAGTTACTATTATTTTTTCCCTTCTTGTTTTTAGTATCTCACCTTGTTTTACCTAGACCGTTCTTTTTAAAAAATAAAATAATTTCAGTCTAGTATATGGAATCTTGCTAAAGAACCCTGGAACAAGCGAAGGAAAGCTTGATAGCAGATGTCATTCTCTGTGATTGCTGTTTTGTTGCTTTTAAAAATAAAATGCCTCTATTAGAATGATTGGAAGGATTGACCAAGATTTACCATCTTCAGACTGAGCCCTGTTAATCCCGTAATTAATTGTAGAGAACTGTAGGTTTTTGAACAGTGTGTAAGAATTGCTGGGTGGGGATTGCATAAACCAAAATAGTAGAACCATTAAATATTTGTTGCCTTGTTCTTTGGGGGGCGCATAACACGTTGTAGATAACTAATTTTTTACAAATCATTATGGTAACAAAGATTCATGGTAACTTTACAGGTGCTGCATCAACATCTTAAATATAGAGGTGCAATTTGAGTTATTAAGCCCCCGCAGCTTCCTGACCAGAAGCAAATGGACTTGTTTCAAAGGACATGACATTCATCTTGTTTTAATGATTTCTTTTTATTAAAAGCCCAGCACTTTAGTTTTCATGTGGTTTGTTTTTTAGACTGAATCTGGCTATGGATCAGAGTCGAGTTTACGACGCCATGGCTCCATGGTGTCTCTTGTTTCTGGAGCAAGTGGATACTCTGCAACATCGACCTCTTCGTTCAAGGTTAGTGAATACAGTTTTCTTAGTATTGGTACACAAATAACATGTACAGCTGAAAAAGAAATAAATTCCATAAATACTTGTTCACACAATTACAAAAAAAATTACAAAATACTTACTTTACTGTGATATGTCATGTGATCATGAACAGATCATACAGGAAGCTCTCTTGTGCCTCTGTGCAATTCTCTTTTAAACTGTACCTAAATTTTTTCTTCATAGTTGTAGGAATCTGACGTTTATTTATTTATACATTGAACTATTGCTGAGTATATAGAAGTATTTCAGGCTTTTTTCCCTTGCATTTTCAGAAGGGCCATAGCTTACGTGAGAAACTTGCAGAAATGGAAACCTTTAGAGACATCTTGTGTAGACAAGTTGATACTTTACAGAAATACTTTGATGCCTGTGCAGATGCAGTTTCCAAAGATGAACTCCAGAGAGATAAAGGTAAAGCTGTAACTGAAAACTCTTATCTCCATGGAATTTAGCTTTTTATACAGTAATAGCCCTTTGAAAAGTTACTATAGCATTCAATGCCAGGTAAATAAAGTGTCTTAAATCTACTCTTTAGTATAGGGATTAATCATAGATATATCTGTATAAACGGTTTGACTGTTTTTACTTAGGAAGTTGGATTCCCATAAAAATCTACTTATTATTAACCTGTAACTGTCAACTGCACAAAAGAAATGCTCTTTTAAGCATTTGATGTTACAGAACAATAATTGTTTACCCTCATGAGATGAATTCAGGTTAGTTTTATCACTGTGTCTCTTACCTTTTATTTGGAAAAATCAGTAGGATATTAGTTTTGAAAGAAAAAATACATTATTCTTAAAAGGTAACAGTTTTGCCATAGTGAATGCTTCTGACAAGTATTGACTGGAACTACAGCATGGAATGTACACCTGAGGCCGTAGCAGACTCAGATGTGGGTGTCTACATGTCTCTGAATTGCTTTTCTCAGAGCATGGCACGTAGGTGTGTTCATGCACTCTTCTTGAAGCATTTTTATGGGTTTGTTCTGACAGCATGAAACTTGTGGTAGGAAGAAGACAGTAGAAAAGTACAATTCCACTTCTTAGGGACCTTTCTGGTGTAGAAGAGTGGCTGACTGCTTATCTAAAATAATGTTGCTCTTACCAGAGATTGAAGTGCTAAATTTCACCACCAGCGAAAGTTAGTGCCCTGATGGTTTCTGATGGTAATGTTCGATAGTGGTCTTGAGTTTGAAAAAAATAAATGGGAAGGGTGGGAAGTCATGACTGTTGTTATAAATGTTGCTTAGCCATAAAGGTGCTCTTAATTCTTTCTTTTACTCTAAAGAATTTCTCATTCCCATAACATTTTCTCTCAAATGTAGTGGTAGAAGATGATGAAGATGACTTTCCTACAATGCGTTCTGAAGGGGATTTTTTACATAACAGTAACAGCAGTAAGGAAAAGTGTAAGTGTACTAATTCTTTCACTGAAAATTCATGTGAATGGTATGATAAGCCTGATACAACACAGATATATATGGTCTCTTCTAAGGAGAAAATAGCATATAGCGTATATGTAGTGCAAAATAGTATATAGCGTATAGTATATAGAATATATAGAGAGAGCACAGCATATGACAGAGTTCTTATTCATGTTATCCTTCATTAGCTGGTTTTCATGATTCTCTGGGTTATTCTTAATTAACAAAATTATTAATGCAAGCTTGTCAGACTGGAATTTGCTGTTCTGTGTATAAAGCCATTTTAGCTACAGCATTCTGTTCAAACAGCTGCATCGTTCAGATACTGGGAACTGAGATTTGTAACAAGTTGTTGCAGTTTTTCTTACAAGTGTTACCTGCTTTAGGACTATGGTGGAGCACAGTGCTTTTCCAGTTAGGTGTGTCCCGGTATGGATTTTCCAAGTTCTATGACTTTGTAATGGTTATGTCAACAGCATTACTGATTCTCGTTCACGGTAGTTTTAGCACTTTTTTTACTGTATTTTCCGTTGTTATGGTGAATGGAATCCTGATTTTTGTTCTTAACTGATTGAGTTTATTGTACTCACTGCATCTATAAAATAAGTGTGAAGACCTCATGGAAGTCTTGCCATTCTAGAAATCTGATACTTTTGGCCTGGCAGAGGTTACGTATGCATTTGAGAACTATCTGCATTTTTCTTAGATTTTCACGTATTTCCTGACTGAAATATTTTAGTGTTTACCTTCTCTACGTGTTGACAGTTCAGTTACTTCTATCACAGAATCAAAGAATGTTAGGATTTGGAAGGGACCTCTAGAGATCATCTAGTCCAACCCCCCTGCCAGAGCAGGATCCCCTAGGGCAGCCACACAGGAACGCATCCAGGCGTGTTTGGTAAGTCTCCAGAGAAGGAGGCTCCACAACCTCTCTGGGCAGCCTGTGCCAGGGCTCTGTCACCCTCACAGTAAAGAAGATTCTCCTCACGTTCATGTGGAACTTCCTGTGTTCTAAGTTTAGACCCATTATTTCTTTGTCCCCTTATCTTGGCACCCACTCCTCAGATATTTATACACATGAAGAAGATCCCCTCTCTACTTTCTCTTCTCTGGTATTTCGTAGACTTTGATTCACAAAACTTTGAAATTGCACTACCTCCAGCTTCAAATCTGATGGAATCTCCCAAAGTACTCGTCAAAAGTGTTTTTAAAAATCCAAACACTTTCACCCAGAATCTGGGAAATATGTGGACAAACTAAGCCTTTTTTTTTTTCATCTTTTTAATTGGCTATTGTCCTTGTGTGTTATATCTTTCCCTTCTGTACTGAAACACTCATTCTGAAGTATAGCTAAAGCTATTATGAGAAAAGAGGAAGGGAAATGGAAGGAGCTTCCAGGATACTTCCAGAATTGATCATATGAGTAGGTGTTTTTTTTTTTTCAGTTATATCAAGTGCTTGCTTTACTTAGTATTAATTGTAAGGCTGATTTCGGAGGTTAAGTAGCATATACCTCTGAAGTTTTTAGTAAATCTTTCTTGCGTCTTATCACCAAAGATAAGTAAGCTTGCAGCACTCACCTGTAAAGAAGTGCATAGTTCCACTAACCTTTCTGTGTATAGGACAGTGTACATTTTTGAGGACTGTTAAATCAGAACAAACTTTAGAAAACTGGAAAAGCCTTCTTTAAAAAACGTTAAGTGAGAATTTAATTTTACTGCATGATTCATTCTGAAAGAAATGTCTTTGTTAAACTTAATTTTTGTATGATCATGTAGGAGTTTCAGCTTAATTTACCTTTAGAACATTTCTTCCAGTGTATCTGCTATATATACACACATGTGATACCGTAATGTCATTAGAACAGCCTATATTTCTAGTACATCTGATCATCTTAAAATTAAGTGCAAAGTGACTGCCTTTTTGATCTCTTGCTTAACAGGAATTTTAATTGTTATCCATATTCCTTTTGTAAAAAGTTCTCTATCAAGTCTTTGGGAACTTAACAGCTAAGAAGTTGCTATATATTGTGGGTAACCGTGTATCAACTCACAACAGCCCACTAGAGAAGATCTCTGCAACTGCTTGCTTTTTGCAGAATTTCTAATTCCAGTTGTTATGATTCCTGATTCCATCAAATTTATGTATATTTCTGTGAAAAGCTTTACCTCCATTTCAATTTTTCTGTGCCTCAGTTTGATTTGAGAGCTAAATCAATTAAATATTTGGCAGCAGAGTGCTGCAAAGCTTGATTAGAAATGAAAAATCAGAGTCTGCCCTAAAGTGGAAGATGAGTCACGAGTGATGTGGTGGGAGAAGTAGATGGCAGCCATATCCATGTATCATGCACAAAATTACTGAGACTAACTGATAATGGAAGATTTATCTTCAGCTTCACCCTTTTCTTGGGAGCTGCTCTGAGGCGAAGCTTAAGATTCTTTGGCTTCTTAAATTTCAGATTCCCTTCCTGAAGACTGTGCAGTGGTGTCAGGACTGGAGTGATCTTACTGACTGCAGCTGAGCAGTGGTTGCCTGTTTTCTCTGGGGTTGTTCTGCTGTCAGTGCTTCAGGAAGTGAGAAGCATGGGTTCAACCTCTTACTCAGCCTAGCATGTTGTTCCACTGCTGCACCAATCTAATGCTTAAATCATTAGATTTAAGACTGACTTGAGAGACCATATTCACATTGTTTTTTTGAAATTTGTTCCCTTCTGCACCTTCACTAAGTGGGAAGAGAAAGTTAACATGGCTGTAGAGATTTGTGTACTAGTCTGAAGAAGATGTTTTGGATAGGGAGGAAGAGCTTTCTTTTCTGTGTTCTCTATGACCTTTGAGTGAAAAGCTAGGAAAAGTACTATGGAGGTATCTAAATTTACTGGTTGCTTCCAATTAAAAAATCTGGTAACTGAAACAATGATCATTCATGTAAAATACCAAGGCAGAGTCTGGCTAATGCATATTTACCCTCTGAGAACTTAAGTTCTAAGAAGTTCATCAGGAAGTGTTCCCATTTATCCACTTGGGAGGAATGGTGTATTGGGATTTAAATTATTTAGGAGTAGGAAGAGCAGGTGAAACCTACCTGTGGAACCTCATTGAAGACGGAAGATGTTTTTGTACTGGAACTATGAAGATGGAAATGGTAGGGGCTGGGAGATTGAATGTAAACCAGTGGAATTTATGCTGGATTTTTGTGCTTTGAATTGAGGAAGAATATCCACCAATGTATTGCTGAAATAGTGGTGATGTTCTTAGAGGAAAACTAATCACATTGATCCTCCTGCTATCTGCAGAAGATGAACAATAGTAGGTATCAATAAATGAGTTGTATACTGAAACATTTCTTTCACAATTAGTTCAGTGACATAAGATGTTAAGGAGGCATAACATGGGAAAGATAAAGGAACTTCTTTCTACTTTCTGTAAATTAATTTTTTTTTCACTGGAGAACAGATTTCATCAAACACATGATATTTGGGACATCTGAGAAAGTGTTGCAAACAATCTTAGGAACAAGAAAGAAAAACTTACTATCCTGAACAGACATACAGGTGTAAGAGAGAAGGGCTAAAGAGATGTTGGGGGGTGAAACATGATATGAAGAGTCCCTTATATGAAAGTTGGGAGAAGGCAAGTCGAAAACAGAGCAAAATGCTTAAAAGACAAAATAATTTAAAAGGGACCACTTGGAAGGTGTTGAAGTTTAAATAGGAGAAAAATAATCCTGCTGCTTTTTTCGTTTGCCTGCATGGAGTTTGAGAGGAGCAGTTTCATTGATAATAACATTTTCCTATTAGCCTTTACCTCGAACCACACAGATCTCCTGATGCCAGATTTCATTTTGAAACACTTGATTGGTAGCTTAAATGAAAAAAAGTGTAAAAAAGGAATAGGAAATGTGTTGCCTGGTCTAGTCAAGAGGTGGCGTCCCTGCCCATGACAAGGAGGTCGGATTAAATGATCTCTAAGGTCCCTTCCAACCTAGGCCATTCTATGATTCTGTGAAATACTTCTAATGAGGTGAAGCACAACTGTACTGAGATGAGGCTTTTGAAATCTGACATCTTCCAGGAAGGCACATATCTCCTGTGATGAGGAATGAATCAAAATAATCCCATCCATAATAAGGAAATTCTTGAATGACCATCTATTCAAAGAAATAGGTTTTATATCTTTCTGCAGAAAGATGGTTGGGTTTTCTTTCCATAATTATAACTAGTAGAAGGAACTTTGGATGCTGTGCAAGCTGTGCATTTATGACTGTCACTTTGAGACTGGTCTTTAAAGAAGGACTTAGAATATATGATGAGTGAAATTGTGTGGAAGTATTAACAAGTTATAGCTGAGTCCTAAAGGAATAGAAGCTGGGGTTTGAGGTTTGTTTTTTTTTTCAGAAAATTAGGCTGTATTGCTGCATTTTCCTTACATTCTACCATAGAGATTTTGGAAATGGTTTTATAGTGTTGCAGCCAGTGGTAGTTTCTTCAGCATGTGTAGCACGTTGCATAGTTAAGAGAAAAATCACATCAACAGGCTTTATAACTGTACTGATGAGCTTGCACATCAACACAGTATACACCAACAGGAAAAATTATTAGTATAAACTGTATTTCACAGTTGTGAAGTGCTATAGGTGAATCTCTTGCTGTGTAATTTTCATTATTCTTGGTGAATCCACTGCATTGGCTCTTTTGCCAACTTATACCACCTTCAGTCTTAGCCTCCTCCATGTTCCTTCTGCAGCGGTTAGGGGGAGGGAGAACTGCTGTGCTTACTGTTTCTGAAATAGGTTTTTCTTTCTCATTTTCCTTTTTTCCTCTAGCCTTGATCATCTTTACCTTTTAGAGAGTATTATTGATTAACATGAAACAAAAATTAACCTGTATCCACTGTAGTTTATATGCTTATTGAGGTATTTGAAGTAATGTGTAGCCTCTAATAATCTGTTTGAAAAATAGTTTGCCTCCTTCTGAAAGGAGGGCATGTAAAACGTCTAGAGACTTAAAATGTGGCTTAAGACCATGTGATGATTGCTTTCTGTTCCTAAGGTGTAGGTACTGTGCTCTGCCATTAAAGAACAGCAATTGCCTTTCTCTTCCTACAGAAACTGAACTGCTTGAAGGCTCTGCTTTGACCTTGCAGACAGATATTGGATAAACTTACACAAATATTTATTTGTACTTCTAAAACCATAATAGTAGCATGTTGTCAAACGAACAGGCTAGGGAAAAAAGTGATATGCAGCTAGGTGGTAAATCATTAGCTTGTCTCGTGGCATAGCAGGAGTTACTTCAGCCTGCTGGGCTCAGTTAGCTTCAACATGAGTGTTACTTCTGCTTTCTAATATTTTGTGACATTAATATTTAGTGTTTGATTTGTTATTATGCCAACCCACATACGAATTTGACATATAATAGATACTTTTTTTGTCACACTTCTTAAATGACTTTTTAAAATAGCCTTAGCAACAGATGGCTTGGTTGACAACCTGTAGTAGTTAGAACTGCAAAACCCACAGTACTTGGATAATTCAACACATTTGATACTTTTATCTTATACCTCTTTACTTTGAGGTTTAAGTCTGTAATTACCTGCTTAAAGCAACTGTGAATGTTACATTTTGGGTTTGATTACAACTTGAAATTGTTCCTTTTGGTGCTGTATCAAATAGGTTTTAAGGTTGCTTTGTGTTAATTAGACCCCACTTGAAGCTGTCAAACTGCTATTGTTACACAGTATTACCACTCCCTCCACCCACATGATTTGCAGAGTGCAGAGTAATACACAGCATTACAAGCAGACTTGAACTACAGTATAGCAAGATGGAGCTGAGGGAGTATGTTCCTCCTTTTGGTTCTCTTTCCTTATCGTGTGGATAGCTGAAAATTATGAGCACTTTTCATTTTTTTTTATTTTTAACTTTCTAGCCAATCTGTTTTCTTGTAACGGTTGTAATATAAATCATACATGTAAAATGTTTGGAGTTAAAGGCAGCTATCAGTGGATGATTCATATTTATTTTCAGTGTTTCCACATGTGACACCCAAAGGAATTAATGGCATAGACTTTAAAGGAGAAGCTATAACTTTCAAGGCAACTACTGCTGGAATCCTTGCTACGTTGTCTCATTGTATCGAACTCATGGTAAAACGTGAAGAAAGCTGGCAAAAAAGGCTAGATAAGGTAAGTCACTTTTGTTAAAGAAAAAACAAAGCTGCTTTGGCTTGAAATTGAAATTTCGAATGAGCTCTTAACTTTTTTATTCCACCTATTGCTTTTATTTTAATGTACATAACATTAATTTTAGGTGCTTTCATTACTACTCCTATAAAGTGTTAAACCCTCATCCTGCGTGGTGATACAGTAACGTTATTCATCACAGTCCTTTTTTCTAGCCCTTGTTCAGACAGATATGAAAAATACTTGACAGTATTCCATAGAAGTAAGTTATTACTTGCCGCCTTCTAAGAGACCTAATTATCCATGCTTGCAAAATGATGTGCGAATCTGAGATGTTTTAATTATTATGAGAGATGGCAACAATACTGAGAACAACCAATTCTAACTTTAAATGTCTCTTTAAGATACATTTATTTCAATTTCCTTTAGGAGATTGAAGAAAAGTTTTGTTTTATACCAAATGGTTAAATTTCTTAGGTGTGTCATTTGAGAATATCTATTATTCTAATGGCAATGATAATTCATGCTAAGCCTACTCAACCACAATAGCAACTTGAAAGGAGCAGTGTCTTTTCTCATGAGATGTGCTGGAGGCATGGCTAGGTAGTGCTTAACACTGTGATTTCTAGAATCTTACCATCACTGGCTGGTGTCCTGTGTAGTCCTCCAGCTCTTGTTGTCTCTTGTTTATTTAATATGTTGCATGTGGTGTGTATCACACTGCAGATCTTACTACATATGTTTTAGTGGTACATGATTCAAAGAATGAACACATTCACACAAAGTACACCCGTGTTTGAGTCTTTGTTTCTGTGTTCTGGGTCATCTTTGGCCATACGTAAACACAGGACCTGATGAGATGCATCCCAGAGTCTTGAGAGAATTGGCTGATGTAGTTGCCAAGCCATTCTTCACGATATTTGAAAAATCATGCCATTCAGGGTGAAGTCCCTGGTAAAGGAAAAAGGGAAGTGTTGCATCCATTTCTAAAAAGCGTGGAAGGAAGGACCCTGGGAATGACTGACTTGTCAGCCTTACCTCTTTGCCTGGGAAGGTCCTCCTAGAAGCTCTGCTAAGGCACAGGGAGGACAAGGCAGCCAGCCTGGCTTCACCAAGGGTGGGTCCTATCTGACCAACCTTCCGTGATGGGGTAACTACATCAGTGGACAAGGGAACAGCTATGGATGTCATCTTTTTGTACTTCTGCAAAGCCTTTGACATGGTTCACCACAACATCCTTTTCTCTATTCTAGAGAGATGGATTTGATGGGTGGACTGTTTGGTGAGTGAGAAACTGATTGAATGGTTACATCCAGAGAGTAGGGGTCAATGGTTTGCTCTCCAGATGGAGACGGATGACAGGTGGTGTCCCTCAGAGGTCTGTGCTGGTATGAGTGCTGTTTAATTTCCTCATCGGTGACAAGGACGGTGGGATCGAGTGCAGATCTCAGCAAGTTTGCAGATGACACCAAGCTGAGTGCTGCTCCTCATAGAGGCCACTCCTGCAGTCCTCTATGACCAACACCTTTGACACCTATGCTCTTGAAGATAGCAGCTGGCAGTATTGAGACCTGTGCTAACACTATTCCACTTCAGCCCAGAGCTGCTTTGGGATTTTTTTATCTTGTTTTAGTAGTTACATGTGGTTTTATAAAAGCATCTTCTGTGGATATGAGCCTAAGGGAAAAAACATTGGTCTGTTTTCAAGTAGATGTGGGAGGAGAATGGTGATCTTTGTAGCTTTGGTTTTCATGGATAGCTTTGTAAGCTGCTCTGAAAAGGAAGTAAACGTCTTGATATTATCAAGTTCAGAATACCTTCTCTGAGAGAGGTTAGAGGGAAAATTGTCATGCAATTCAGCAGCTGTTTGTGTTCAGAACTCTTAGTCTGTCCAGATCACCTACCAGAGTTGAAAGGCATCGTGATCTGGATGAGGGGATGGAGTGCACCCTCAGTAAGTTGCAGACAATACCAAGCTGGGTGGAAGTGTTGATCTATTCGAGGGCAAAAAGGCTCTACCGAGGGACCTGGACATGCTGGATTGGTGGGCAGGTAGTTGATGGGTTGTAGTGAGGTGGGGGTCAGTCTCTTCTCCCAAGTATCAAGTGATAGGCCGAGAGGAAATGGCCTCAAATTGTGCAAGAACAGGTTTAGACTGGACATTAGAAAAAAAATTTCACCAAAAGTTGTCAAGTGCTGGCACAGGCTTGCCAGCCTGTTATCCTTCCTGAAGATATTTAAAGATGTATCATGTGCTTAGAGACATGATTTAGTGGTGGAGTTGGTAGTGCTAGGTTAGTGGTCAGACTTGATCTTCAAGGTCTTTTCCAACCTAAACAAATCTATGATTTTGTAGTAAGTTTCTCCTTCTGTGCATCAGCAGCTTTATGCTGCGGGCTCTGCACTCTGCAGGTTCATCACAGGAAGAGTAAGGCCTCTGTCAGTGGCTAAAATCAGTGATTGTTTTGCAAGTAGTGTATGTGCCACTAGTCCGGCTCACTCTCTCCTCCAGCCTTCTCACTGCACTCTTCAGAACTGCCTTTTCCTACTACCTCACAAAATTAGAGCCTCCATGTTGTGGAGGGCTAGCATAGCCTAAAGATGCAAGATAAATTTATGTCTGCTGAACTCGAAGAATGTATGTTTCAAAATTACAGCTGTACTAAAAATTTCTAATTAAAAAAGCTCAAGTTCAGTAGAATTTGTTGTATCTGAAGGTGACTACAGTTTTACTAGAGATGAGTAGTGTTGCGAAATTAGTATCTTTCTCTAGAATGCCATTATTGTTTTTAAAATGAAAGTTTTCAATTACATTGTGAAGGACGGAAAGTAAAAATCTTTGAAAAAAGAGTTTAATCTAAACTTTCAGTTTTTAAGAATATTGCTATAATAATGTATATGACAATGGTACTTCTAGAATTAGGTTTTTTCTGTTACTAAAACATTCAGATGCCTATAATAAAATTAATACAAAAGCATGTAGTGTTATCTAAAGATAATGGTAGTTACAGCTTTATTTATTTAATTCTTAGCGGTTAAGATCTTAAGCTTAACTTTTTTGTTTTTGTAGTGCAGTGTATTTTGCAATATAAGCTTCTTGAAGATATTTTAAAGTAATTTTTCTTAAAATGAGTTAACAAGGGAAAGGATTTAATTTCTAGTACTTGGTCCATTGTTTTATTTGCAACAAAATCCTGTGATGATGCTTTTCTTACTGTCTTGACTACAGAAACAGTTTTTCTATTTTTTTCTGTTTTTCTTACTGATTGTCACTAATGAGTAACCTTATCTTCTGAACATTTGCCTTAAGATTAACATATTTGGGTATCTTGTTCCTGTTTGACAGTTGTAACTTAAATGTCTCATTATATTTTACAGAGTCTAAATACACCAGTAATTTTTCTGCTCTGCAGTCAGTTTTCCAATTTTTGCCTTACGTGATGTTGTTACCAAGCGAAGCTGGCAGATTTAGAAAGCTGCATTTTGACACATGTGATTTATTACTAGTTTGCAGGTCGAAGTACAGAAAGTGTGGGGATTTGAGATGAGCAGGAAGGAGTTGTCTTTTGTTTTTTCTTGTTTTATGTTCCAAGTGTTCTCATAAAACTTCTGTGCTTTGTCTCTGTTAACTTGGACTGAAGTCATGCTTATTGTGTCTTCGGGACCCTTCAGTTACTTTCAAAAAAGATAAAAGGGCAAAATTTTGTGAAACATAAGTCTTAGCAATAATTGCCTCATTGTGATAGCTTCAGAAATGAAAAACCTGCATTTACAGATAATGACAATACTAACAGTGCTGCTTTTTTTCTGAGAATTTTTCTGTTGAAATCTGTACTTCTTTGCTTTACGTCACAAGTGCTGCTTTCCTTTTCAACATTTCTTTAGAAGCTGGAAAAAGTGTTCCAGAGTGAATGTTACCACCAAATTCCCAGTCGAGAAATTCAGCATTACGCTATATCTTAAGGATTTTCCACAGAATCTTTAAGGTTCAAATTGTGTTGCTGAATAATTATATTTATGTCTGAAAGTAGTGTGGTGTCCAGTTGTCACCTGTAAGACTTCCACGTGAAGTGATTTCAAAAGGGTACGGAGAAACATCTTGCATATTAAAGCTGAATTCTGCAAGCATTTCAGAAGTATTTATAGCTTTTTCACTAAGAAGATGTGGCAGTATGTAGAATTTGCAGGAAGTACTCGACTTAATCTGGTCCTGGCATTACTACTTTATTATCAAAATATGCAATGATGTAAATAAACATCAGTGGCTCTTGTACAGTCACACATCTATTATGGGAGCGTGATGTTGAATTAGGCTCTACATGGAGTTTACAAAATGATTCATGCTGATCGTGTGCCAGCTAATGATAGATAAATGTACGCGCTACGACTCGTTAGTATCTCACTACATTCAACAAGTTTTTACCAGTCTCACTTTTCACCCTTTGTCACTGTCCAACCATCTGTGTCAAGGAGGTTTATATAAACTTTCAAATACAAAGACCAACCCCCAATGAACCATGGATAGCTGTGCTTAAATGAGACACCAGTTTTTGCTTGCTGCTCTGATTTCTTCCACATGACTTAAAGAAGGTATCCTCAAGGTAGCTAGTTCCCCAAGCTTTGTGTTACATATGTGTTTATATGGGCACAGATAATGCATGTGTGCAAATAAATTCAGAAAATCCACAGCTTTGCAATTTTAACTTGGAAAAAAAAATATACTGATCATTCTCACTGCATCAAATGATCATCTAATTTTACAGGAGACAGAGAAAAGGAGGAGAGTTGAGGAAGCCTACAAAAATGCTGTGACAGAATTGAAGAAAAAGTCCCACTTTGGAGGGCCAGACTATGAGGTATATAAATTCTGCAGTTGAAATTTTTAAAAACACTAAGACTTTTAATGATTTACGTGTTTCTCAGAGTGGGGAAAGGGTCATGTAAATCAAGGTGTTTTGGCTTGTGCAAGTGTGTTCGTGCAACTTGTTTTTCCGACTTGGAAACTGAAGCAGTATGAAGAATCTTAGTCCTTCTTTCCTTGAGAATGGAAGTCTGTCTTCACCTCAGGCTGCTATGTTCTGGTTTTGTTTAAAATATTTATGATGATTTTTACTATTTTCCTTTTAAATATATGCAATAGATTTTCTGCTTCCCTTTTTAATGGTTCTGCTGTATAGCTTTGTAAAGCAAATATGAAAACCCTGAGGTTTTCAGAGGCAGCCTCAGAATCTGGAAGGAATTGATTCCTAACTTGTCTCTGCCACAAATTCAGAGATTTTAGATTCCTTTTATCTGTCAAATTGCAGTAGCTTTCACCTTGGTGAGGTATTTAATAAAATTCTAAGATACTTAAACCACCTTCTGAAGAATAATGCAAGCTAATGCACCTATAATGCAGTTTGTATAGTTTTTAAGAACGTGATCCCTTCATGTAATCAAACACATTTCTACTTGAAAAACATAGTCTGAGAAATAATACTAATATGTTGAGATATGTAAAAGATACTTGAGCTTAAGTTCTTGGTTGTGACTGAGACATACACTGTAAGAGAAAAATACGGATAGATAGTTGTACTTGGTCTGCGTGATTATGAGCCCAGCTGCTTTTCCCAGGTAACGCTGTTGTAAAGTAGTTTTTTGAAGTTTGCTGGACCAGTTTGTCTTACAATGCATTAAAAGCAGTAAACTTTGTTTCTTGAAATTTGTCTTTTACTTAGTAGACTCAAGGTTTTAATAGTTGACTCAGCTGTACTTCACCCAGCTGTTCGGCATTGAACTGTTCTTTCAAAGAATTTGTGGAAGAGATGCCCAAATTTTATCCTGTGTTGTCATGTTTTGAGCACATACCTGAAATCTGCCCTAAGGCACCAGAATACTTGGAAGGAGTCTTCACTACACAATTATGTTAATATGTGTACTTTACTGACACACTGTAAATATTTTTAAGAGAATATATATGTTAATGAAAACCTCAATCTGATGTCAAAGCATATTGACACTGTTACTGAGTTTCCTGGGTTTTATTCCTTCTTTATGCATCTATCCCTAAATTGTAGTTGAGGGGAGTAACTTGCTTTAACAAGTAGGGTTTTCAGAGGAACTGTAACCTAAGAATATTGGGGAAGATACCTGAGGTCTATAGAAGAAATTTGCTTCCATTGGTTATATGCATAATATATAAATACATATTTCTTAAACTGAAGAGAAACTCTCATGTCTCCAAAATTTCTAACTACTTTTGTTTCTTATGCTCTAGGAGGGTCCTAATAGTCTGATTAATGAAGAAGAATTCTTTGATGCTGTTGAAGCTGCTCTTGATAGACAGGATAAAATGGAAGAACAGGTATTGATACTTGAAAAAGTCCTTAAAAATAGGCACTTCACAGGAGACTTCTGTCACTTAAGCTCAGTCGGGGGGTGGATCTCCTGAAGCTCTAGGTGTTTTATTCTGACACTGATTGGGGGAACTTGCTTTAATATTTTTGCAGGTAAGTATTGTCACTTAACTCTAATTTTGAGAAAGTGACTTGACAGCTTGTGTAGGAAAGGATAGTGTAAGTGTTAAGCTAATTGAATGTCTCTAGTTTCTAATTCCACAAAGCTGGTGAAGGGCCTGGAGAATAAATCATATGAAGAACGATTGAAGGAGTTTGGGGCTGTTTAGTCTGAAGAAGAGGAGGCTGAGGGGAGACCACGTTACTATCTACAACTACCTGAATGGATGTTGTAGAGAAGTTGATACTAGTCTCTTCTCACAGGTAATTAGTGATAGGACAAGAGGGAATGGCTTCAAACTGCAACAGAGTAGGTTTAGACTGGACATTAGGAAAAAAAATTTCACAGATAGAGTAGTCAGACATTGGAACAGGCTGCCCAGGGAAGTTGTTGAGTCACTACCGCTGGATGAATTTAAAGGTCGTTTAGATGTGGTGTTGGGGGATATGGTTTAGGGGTGAGCTTTGTAGAGTAGGGTTAGTGGTTGGACTCGATCCCAAGGGTCTTTTGCAACCTGATTGATTCTGTGATTCTGCAGTTCTTTTGTAAGTAACCGATGCCCTGTGGAAATAAGAATATCAAACACTGCAGCTGTTTCTCAGAGCCTAATTGTTGCTCTGAAGTTTCTTTTTACTCTAGCATTAAGTGAAATAGAAAAGACATAGTTCTGCTGGTATTTGTTTTTACTTAAAAATTCTTTAGAGTCTTGCTACTTAACTCATTGCTTGAATACACTCCAGTGACAGGGATCAAAAGGGGCAAGACACATGAGGAAATACATGGAATATGAGAATGTGTAACAGTATATAAAATGAGAGGGAATAACAATGAGATGCTTCCTTTGTTATAAAAGTGTCCAGACTTATGTATATGAAAAAAAATATGAATAAAAATTAAAAGACTTTCTAGTGGACATAAAGTATCCAATAGAGTTTACCTACATTAGGGTCTTCTAGTGGGGAGTAAGTTTTGAGTGACTATTGCACTACTATGTGGATCCTTAGTGCTGCTGATACATCTCTCCTTAACGTGAAAATACACCTGGAGGTATAGCTGAATTCAGCCTTCAGGCCCATTCATGTGCTGAGAATTCTAGGATGGCAGTTTCATGCCTGTCATAGGTAGCATTGGTTTGTTGTAGCCAGTATGTAGGTTGAGGATGACTCATTCTGTTTCATAGTCCACCCAGTAGCAGCTGACTACTAATTAAACCTATTTTGTTGCAGTCCCAAAGTGAAAAAGTTAGATTACACTGGCCGACATCCTTACCATCTGGAGATGCATATTCTGCTGTGGGAACTCATCGATTTGTCCAAAAGGTAAGCTGTTTCTCATGATCTTCTCTGAATAATGGGCTGACCTATGATACTTCTGTACAATATTTTGTATGGGTAGGTGAGATTCTTTTATAGTGTTTCTAGTAACTTTCAATGGTTTACTCATTTTCAAATGAAGTAGCTGGGATTGGAGGACTGTTATCTGTCTTGGCTCTAAAAATACTCTTGACTTGTATCCAGCTTATCATACAGTAAAGGACAAATCTCAACTTGCTAACCTCAGTGTTTTTCAGATACCTTCACTAACATACAGTGAATTGATTTTATTAAAAAGTGAAAATCCAGTTGCTTGTATCAGGACGAGTTGGCTTTTTTTAGTGTTACTGGTAACACTGTGCTCCTCTCAAGGCTACACTGGGAGCATAATACATAATAGGTGCATGTAATCAGCATTCGCTGCCGTGCTTGCTGCTTATGGTGCTTTTGTTTTCCTTTTCTTCATTATCTCGTGCTTGCAAGTTGGTACTGAATGCTCTGTTGTGCCTTTGTTCTGATTACTTGGTTTTTTCTTTGTCTGTCTCTGGTAGCCCTATAGTCGCTCTTCCTCCATGTCTTCCATTGATCTAGTCAGTGCCTCTGATGATGTTCACAGATTCAGCGCCCAGGTACTGTATTAATGTGTAGAGTCGGGGTTACTTATCTTTGCTGTATTTCATCCTCTTCTCTAGAACCTGGGTTTTCTGTTACATAAATAACTGCTTACTTTAAACTAGTACATTGAGACAAAGGAGTTCTCTATTCCTTACTAACTGGTTGTCTTTTTACATCCAGCTTGCATGCATATCACTTGTGCAGAGGCCCAGATCTTGTGAAACTGGTGGATTTCATTCAGTAGCTCTAGTAAAAATGCCTACAATTGGGAAATTTTGCATTTCTGATTATAATAAAAGTAGAATAACATCTGTTTAGTGTGGGCTAGAGATGGTCTTCACTTCCAATTGAATAGTTTTTTCTTGCTTTTAAATCTAAGTTTTATTTTTTGTCTTTAACATTTATTTGTGATGACATTAAAATGCCAGATGTTAAGAGTCACTATTACCATTTTTTACATTTGCAGTTAGTTTTATTACTGAAGGGTCATAAAATATGTTGATAATCAAGACTGTGGGTATGAGAATTTTTACTGAAGAATTTTGATGTATTTACTTATTCTTCAGCAAATGAGCCTGAAATCCTGAGTATGTCAATGTAGTCATAGTGACAAATTCCAGTAATGTACAAAATTACTCTAGGTGCTTGCTCTGAAGATTATGATTTAGAGTAGAATTAGATAAGTGTGTTCATGTTTTTACTCTTTAGGCTCAAAAAAGCTGTTCAGATGTGGCATTCATGCCGTTAGTTTCCTTCTGCTGTGGTGCATATGTGATTGTGAATATGGAGCTTCCTTTTGGAATCTATTTTGGAGGGATTTTTTTAATGATTAATGCTACAAACAACCTGGTTTTTGAAATAGAAGGAATGGATTTTCTTTGAACAGAAGCTGTAATCAAACTGCCTGCAGACCTCGCTACCAACTTTATGAGCAGGACCCTAACACTTAATGACTTGCTTATTGGACTGAAATCCCAACACTTGCTTTGGTCTTTTGCAGTCAGTTATTTTCTGAAATTTAAATTTATTGCAAGGGAAAAAGTATGCAGTTCATATTGCACAACACCGATAGCCTCACCTATTGGTGCTCCAGCAGTCAAGTTAGTTTTTCAAGTTTTTCAAGAAATCAAGCACTAGAAAGCAAGTTTGATTGCAAAGAGCTGATTGTCTGTCAGGCTATGCGTACATGGCAAGTCCAATATAAAGGAAACTCTCAGTTGCTAAAATATGCAGGCCGCCTCATTTTCACCTCTTTCAGTATCTGTGTATTTATATGATAAACCTAAGTATCAGAGCACTAGTGTGGTTGAAAAACTAAGCATTAAAAACAAAGCTGAGGTGGACCAGGTCTTTATGACAATAATGCAAATTGAGGTTAAGGATCAAATGGACCTAAGTCAGGTTGTTACTGCTTTCAGCTGCAGCATGGACAGGTAAAGTTACTGCTGAGAGCATTTGTAGTTTCTTAACTCACAGGAAACTACCCTCCTAACATGCACCCCTACCCCCCCCCATATTTTTCCTAGCATAAATTTTTGCCAGTCCACCTGCTCTGGACCTTCACTGCTACTTGTCATGTCCCGAGCTTTCAGGACCTTGACTCAGGTTCACTGATTCCCAGGCCAGGATTAAGGTGACTCACACCAAGGATCCTAACACGAGTTTTATTTATCAGTCACCTAACAACAGATGCATTTGATGCATTTCAGTCGTCCACTTAGCGCAATCAACATGCCTCATAACAACGAGCTATTAGCAAGCAAAAGAAGCCAGCCTTGCCATAGCTAGCCTTTTGTTAAGACTAGAAAGAGAAAGAGGGGAAAGAGATAGAAAAAGGAAAGATCACCAACCTTGGGTCTAGCAACGACCACGACACACACAACCATCTTCTAGTGGTGGGCAAAAAAACGCACAACTGCCCGGGGTGAGCGCCTTTTATACAGTCAAGTTCCCACCACATAGGCCTTGTGGAAAGTTACTGGGGACCAATCTGGGCGATGATGGGGGCTTCTTAAGGGATGTTATCCCTCACTCTCCCAGCTTTCTGCAGCCACAGCTCCAAGCCCTGCCTGCCCCCACAGCTCCACCAGTGCAGGGCTGGGGCAGGGGCTTAGCAGAGCACTGAGTGACCCCTGCACAAACACAGACAGGGGCCAGGCAGGCGGCTCTGGCTTGTTTGAGTTCAGAGAAAACCCATACTGTTTGAGACATTTGTTTAGTCCCTGACACTACTGAACTAGCAGGTGAAAGATGGTTGACCAAGAGCATGAAGAGAAAAGCAGCGTGCCTTGTTTTGGTGGCAACCTGCTCTGTCCCCAGGCTGAAGGCTTGGCTTTTGGAAAGGCAAGCTAATGTTTCGATTCTGAATAAGTATCACCAGTTTCTAGACTTCATTCTTACAAAGGGAATTTTGGTATCAGTAAAAGGTGAAGTAGAGACTTGCAGCCTTGTTTTTAAGATTGAGAAAGGTAAACATGTATTCTGATGGAGGCTGGTTCTTCAGTGTGCCTCTAAAAGGCATTGATTTGCCTCTGCCAGATGAGTGGGAGGTTGTGGGCTTAAAATTATATACGTGTTTTGCAGATTGCTTTCTTTTAAAGGACTAGCAGATTTTAAAATAGATTGATCTTCTCTGAGGGCCTTTAAAGTGGGAAACAATGTTCAGGTCAAGGCTGCACAGCATGCAGGTTACAAGTGTTTTTGTGCACTGGTTTTGGGGCCTGTCAGGAATGCAGAGGTAAGTGTGGCCTCTCCAGTGAGAAAGAAGCTGTAAATCTTGACTCTCTGCCTCTGAAGCAAGTCGACAGACAGTGACCAGTGCGTAGATTATATACAGTTTGGACAGGTGCTATGCACAAGGCAGTTGCAGGTACTGCAATTCCTTGGTGGGGCAGAAGTAAAGAAAGTGTTCAGATTGTATGCCTGTGGATGCTTCCTCTTTCCTTGCTATTCCCCTCATCCTTCTGCACAGCATGAAGCAAAAAGCAGCAAAAACCAAAATAAACATAAAAGCTAGCTTCGTCGATAATAGGTGAGGAGGTAAGCAAGAAGAGGCATAGAGATTCCTTTCTGAAAAAAGTGGGACCTAGAGCTAGTAAGCTGAATATTTAAATATCCTACCTTCTTACCTGAATTGGATTGTACTGTCATTGTTTTACTGGAGAGGGGAAAAAAAGTCTTTTGTAGGGAACTTGCTAATAACTGGCTGGAAAAGATGGTCTGTCTAAAAGCAGGAAAACAAATCTTGTAGGTATTATTTGTAGCTCTAGACAAAACAAACAAAAAATCACCAACACAAACCACCCAAAACGAGACTGATAACTTTTTCTTCTGTAGAGAGGTCTGTAGTTTTAATAAGGTAAGACTTTCTATCCAATAGATTTTATTTTGATTTTATACTTTGGGGATTTTTACTTCACTCAGTTACCTCTTTTTCTTCCTTGTTTGAACTGATTGTTTTCAGTGATTTTACTTTTCAACTCAGTCTCTGGTAAGAGATTTCACTTAAACCGAAGTTAGCCGTGGTTTTTGCAGACCGTGTCTGCTACAAAAAGTGATAATGCCTGATGTTAACTGTTAGTGCCAAGTGTTGGTACAGAGAAGGATAGCTTTTTCTTGCTGCTCTAATGAGCAGGATTACTGCTAAACCGTGTGTATGACATTGAGGATGCCAGGAAGTAAAAGGCATCACAAGGAAGTGAAATATCGCACCTCTGGGGAGGAGCAGACAGGACAGATCATAGAATCATAGAACAGCTTTGGTTGGAAGAGA